GCAAGCTTTTCCTTCCATACAGAGCTGGAGATGAATTGTGGCATTTGTCATGAGTGGGTGAGAGAGATGCGAATGGATACTGGTGTTCACCGGCACACACACACACACACACACTCGGCCTGCATGGCAACAGATGATCAAGACAGCTTATATGTACACACACACACACACACACACACACACACACACACACACACACACACACACACACACACACACACACACACACTAACTTACATATGACAACGTAAGCACACAGTTTTACATATTCACTGTAAAGCAGCTCTTTTCAGCTGAGGCACTGAATGTGAGAGAGAGAGACAGATCTGATAGAGGACAGACAGCAGCGGCTCACACCGCATGTGTTAATATTCCACATGAGAGCCACAGATCCAAACATTGTTGTGTAATTTTTTGAAAGTGGCTGTGACATTTTCATAGCCATCTAGAGAGGCAGAAGCTCGCTTTTTTACACCTGAGAGCAAACGTTTGAAACAGGAAGCGGCTGCTAATATTTCATTTGATGAATCCAATCGACAAAAAAACATTGCAGATTTAACTTGATCAACATTTATAGGATATACAGGGTTCAACGCTAAGGATTTTGTCTACTGGCCCGATTGTGCCAGTGGTTCAGATTTTTACTTTAGTAGATCCTGTTTCTGTTTATGAAATTGATTCATTTGTTAAGTGGTGATGAAAACTTTTTAAAAGTAAATACAAAAAAAAACAAAACAAAGGAAATAATCTTTGATCCCAAGTGTGTTATCGAGAATTTACCAGTGTCTGTACATAATCAAGAAATCACTCAGGTACCCCTGCTGAAAAATCCAGCTTAAACCAGCCTAGGCTGGTTGGCTGGTTTTAGCTGGATGACCAGCCTGGTTTTAGAGGGGTTTTGGCCATTTCCAGGCTGGTTTCCAGCCATTTCCAGCCTGGTCTTAGCTGGTCAGGCTGGAAAATTACCAGCCAAATCCAGCTACAACCAGCTTGACCAGCCTGGATTAAGCTGGATATAGCTGGTTTTGGCTGGACTCCCAGCTTGGCTAGGCTGGTCAAGCTGGTTTTAGCTGCTCATCTCCCAGCCTGACCAGCTAAGACCAGGCTGGAAATAGCTGGAAACCAGCCTGGAAGTGGCCAAAACCCCTCTAAAACCAGCCTGGTCGACCAGCTAAAACAGCCTAGGCTGGTTTAAGCTGGATTTTTCAGCAGGGAGTCATACAAGTATTTGGGAATTCATATAGACCGGTCTCTAACATGGGACACTCATGTAAACCGGATCTGTGAAAAGCTTCACCAAAGACTGTATTTTCTACGAGGGTTATGGTTTTATGGTGTTGATAAGACAATCATGTACTTATTTTATCAAGCTGTATTTGAAAGTGTTATCAGGTATGGTCTATCTACATCAGGGGTGGCCAATCCTGTTCCTGGAGAGCTACCTTCCTGCAGATTTCAGTTGCAACCCATAATCAACACACCTGCCTGTAATTACCACATGGTGTTCAGGCTCTAATTAATTGGTTCAGGTGTGTTTGATATGGGTAGCAACCCGCTTGTTAAGTGTGACGTCACGCGAAGCGGCTTCCGGGTCCAAGCGCTCTATTCAACTGAATGGGGAGACTCATGAAATGGTAATAATAAACGTTTACAAAGCGATTTAAGGCTTTCGAAAATCACGATCGCAGTATATATGTCCATGCCTAATATCTGATGGCCAGAAAGTGATACATTTTTTATAAATTGTAAAAATTTCGGTATTTGTTATGCAGCAAGGCCAGAGATTGTTGTGTACACTATGATTTTATATAAAATTAACTTTAATGTGTGATAGGAATAAAACGTGATCATAAACAAATAATTTTCTCCACTCAAATGAGTGGCAACTTGGACCCGGAAACAGTATGCATACGTCACAAACACGTCACCACTTAACAAGCGGACTGAAATCTGCAGGAAGGTGGCTCTCCAGGAACAGGATTGGCCACCCCTGATCTACATGGTATGGCAATCTTTCTGTAAATCTGAAATCAAAAAAAAATTATATTATCAGAACTGCTACAAAACTAATAGGATCTGAAACTTTTACTAGTATACACTCTACGAGCAACGCACTCTGAATGAAGCAAAAAGAATTTTAAGTAACCCATCTCATGTACTCTTTCCATTTTACGATCTTTTACCTTCTGGTAGAAGATACAGAACTTTAGACTTAATAAATATTTTATTCCAGTGTCAATCAGACTATTGAACACTGAACAACAGTGTGTGTAATTCTTTTGCATGTTGGCTTATTTTTAATTGTTACTGTGTCAGAACTTGCTGAAGTGCTGTGTGAGTCCACTGAAAATTTCCCCTTGAGGGACAATAAAGTATACAAACAAACAAACATACCTGCCCTGCCAAAATGTTCACTGGCCCCACCAAACTTAAAGTTAATAGCTATTTCTAAGCCAGGTTTTAAATAATGTGTCAAAATAACGTCTGTGAATCTAGAATTTAAATATTTAAAAAAAATGTTAATTAATCTATAATGAGCAAAATTTAAAACGTAATGTAAACAAAACTGACAATTTGGAAAATGTGCAGGTATTTTATTGCGAAACAAAAGATGGCTGACTTGCCAAACTGACGGCAAACTACAAAAACATCACTTAATTTTAAAGTTGTGTTGTACCCACCTAAATGTTTGCTACCAAGGAAGACCTGGCTGTCACTCCAGTGGCCACGCCTTTAATTATGCAGACTTAATATGTAATGTAATGTTATGTGTATTTATATAGCGCATTTATTGTGTATGGCCATACACTCAAAGCGCTTTACAATCATGAGGGGGGTCTCTCCACACCACCACCAGTGTGCAGCATCCACTTGGATGATGTGACGGCAGCCACAGGATAACGGCGCCAGTGCGCTCACCACACACCAGCTATTGGGGGAGTGGAAAGACAGTGATAGAGCTAATTCAGTGGAAGGGGATGATTGGGAGGCCATGATCGTAAGGGCCGATAGAGGGACTTTGGGATGTTTGCTATAAGGTTTTGGCCTTATAATTGGATGTTGTCATCATGTTGCCATCTCTTTGCTACAGAAAAAAAAAACGTGCTTACAACATCCAATCAGATAAGAGGACCCGAAAAGTGATACGGTGTATATGACTTCACAAAGAAGGAGCATTTAAAGCCTTAAAAGCACAAACTGTTTCTCAATTCTAAGACTTTATTTGCACGCAATGGACAAATAGTCGTAGGCAAATTAAACTTTGGTTACAGGGCAGCGATGGCCCAAACGGGCCAGTAACTATCCTGTCTACTGCCCCGAGCATCTCTCACGCTGGCCCCGGGCCATCAGGCAGTCCTTATTGTTGAGCCCTGTTATACTTGTGCACACATGGACATTCTCAGTAAGAAGATGCAATTGCTAATATATGAGCACAGCACAACCTAAGAGTGCATTTAATTTAGTTTACTTATAAGCATACCAACAGTGTGGTAGTATACAAAGTGTAACTTTTAGGAACTATTTAATATTAACTAATATGCATACAAGTAATAAAAACAGAACAGGGTATGTGTGTTTAATATATGTGCGATGTATGTAAATGCATTTTTTTTCAGTATATAACAAATGTTACCATTGATGATAATACTAAAAGTTCTTTAAAAGTATATTATTTCATGACATTAAGCTTTTACTGTATCTTTACTGAACAAGAATTGTCAAGAAAAATTTATATATATATAATAATTTAATAATATTATATCATATTTAATATAAAAGTTCCACAATGATCCACAATGCATGATAAATATGTAAATATATATAAAAACAAATTATATTACTCATAAACATAAATACAAATATATATATATATATAAATATATAAATATATATATATATATATATATATATATATATATATATATATATATATATATATATATATATATATATATATATATCACATGAGTAGCAGTTCGAGTCTCAAAATCCTTTTGTACGAGAAACTGCTTTCTTCCGCCATTCATTCACATCTGCAGCTGATTTCAGAACAGCAGAAACCGTTGCTCATTCACCGTCACTTTAAAGCTAGTGTTTGAATGATTCTGTACTGTCATACTTTAAGTGATGACTAAACAGCTGATTTTGCTGACATTTTAAGATTATAAAGCTGAACGACATGAAATGCCATCAGTATTTCTCTTATGCAATCAGGAGGTCACAATAATTAGGCCCAAAAACGCCAAAGCAAACACTAGCAGATTACTGTGGTATAAACACAGCTCTACAACATACAAAAGAGAGAGATCAACTTAGAATGTCACTTACCTGTTTTATAATGATTTGATAAGCTGCAGTTTAAAATTACGCAGTTTTTTTTCCTTTAAGGACTTATTATGCGGTTTCTGTCGCCATCTAGTGGCAGAACGTCAATTGTCTTTGCTCTGCTCAGTATAACAGGCGGATGGATGCCAACGTGCTGTATCACCAAAATTATAAATATTTAAAATAACCACTAGCTTTTTAAAAAAAACTTCATAGTTGCAATCTAAACAACTACATTTTTGCCTAAAAAAGCCACAACATTATACTCTCCAACAGCTGGACTATTTGTCAAACTGTAGTGGGTTTATTGATCTGCTGTTACACTGTGTGGGCGGAGTAATACACAAGGGTGAGGAGGCTGTACGAGTGCTGATATAAGAGAATATCAGGCTATCAGCCAATCAGATTTGAGAACCAGACAGAACCGCGTGTATTAATATATATAACATAATATAAACATTAGTTCTTATAACATTCTAATTTTATTTATTTAAATATCTTTACATATAATATTTTTATTGCGTTATGCCTTATAAATGCTATTATTTAAATATAATTAGATATATTAAATAATATCACATCAATTAAAAGTCAATTTAATTCAAATTGAAATATTTATATCCAACAGTGTGTAATGGTCGTACAAGTGAATTGAGATTTTGTTCATTTCCCACCTGGGCACTTCGATGCCATCGTATGTTCCAACTGTATAATGACGAAACAGTTTCCTCCTGGCCTTCTCACTGCGGCTCTCTGAAACACACACACACACACTCTGACTCTTAGCACATGTAGGCGTGCATATCTGTGTAAGTGGAAGTGTGATGTATTCAAATTGATGTGATTTTGCATATTCGTGTGCATGAAGATTATGTGAGTAGGCAAATCAGCACAGAGTAAAGCTCTTGGGGACGTTCTAGAAACATGGGAAAAAGAGTCACAATTCAATTAAACAATTCACTGGTGTGTTTTAGGCTTTTCATGCTGCATACAGCTATTCTGTAAATTTCCGTCCAAAAACCCACACTTAGATTTAACAAATGCGATCTGTCAGAAGTTTATACATGATTGCTAATTAATCAAAATTGACACTAAAACTATTAATAATGTTTTTTAAATATTTAAACTTAAATGATGTTCTAGTCATCCATGCAAAATGGTTTGGAAATCATAACATTTACACTAAAATATCTTAGCTTCAGATAAGTAAAACTTCAAATGATCATGCATTAGTTTGATATAAAATGTGTGAGATCTCTGAATTTTCATTTATACTATATATGGTCATTCTGAACACTACTGAGGCCATTCTGAGTCACTGAGGCCATTCTGAGTCATAAGCCCCTTTCACACAGTGATAAAGGTGAATATATGGAAAATTTCCGGAACGACTTTACCTGTCACCGACTCGGTCCCAGTCACTCCCCTCGCTGGCCAGCAGAGGCCGCCATCTCCGGACTTCTAGCATTACATCATCCACTTACGCTGATTGTGCACACACCTGTCCTGAATCTAGCTAACGACCCATGTACCCTTTATAAGCCGCACACAAACACTCAGTCAGTGCGAAGTCTTGTTTAGCCCCGGCCAGCATTACTGAGCGTTATTCCCTGCCTGATCTCTCGTGTACAACTCCAGCCTGTTTCTGACTCTGCTTCGCCTTCTGCCTGCCCACGACCCAAGCCTGATACACGGACTCTGATACTCGCTACCTGCCCACGACCCAAGCCTGATACACTGACTCTGATTATCGCAGCCTGCCTTTGACCCATGCCTGGTAAATCCCCCTGTGTCTGTTTACCGCCAGTCTTGATACCTTTCAGACTATTGTTGATGTGTGTTTGCACTTTAGTGTGTGTATTTGAGTGAAAGCTTGACTAATAAATACTGCATAATAGATCCCTCCGTGTCAGTCTCCTCGTTACATTACCGGTAAATTCAAAAAAGCGCTGTTCACACAGGCGAGGATGTTACAGAATTTTTCCGGAAAAGAGCATTCACACATCCATTCCAAAACACCGGTAAATTCTGACATCATTAACCAGAAATGAGCTCTAAACGGCTGCGCTTGTATTTGTAAACATTTGACGACATCACAAACTCTGTGGATGGATAAGTATTGTGAACAATTTCGATGAAAACATATAGAGAAACACTTTTGCATGTCGAGATGTACATGATATGTGTGTGTGCTCATGGGCTGTTTCATGGGCACACGCAAAACTTGAAGGTAAACAAACAACGGCTTATCATAAGCATCTTATCGATAATTATTTACACCGTTGGCATTAAGATGAACATATAAACGTGATCTGACTAACTTCTAGCAGCTGAATGTGTCTGGGAAAATATTCAAAGGATTTTATTCTCATAAACCGCGCGGACGTGAATGCGTCTGACTGTTCTGATTGGCTAAAGTAGACGTCTTGCGTCAGCACGTTCTAGGCGTGCACACGCTCTTTCCGGCAATCTTCCTTCTGCATTCACACAGCGCAGCATTTTGGAAAATTACCAGTAATCTTACAACTTCTCTTTCCGGAAAATAGCCAGAACGAATTTACCGGTATTTTCAAAAAGGGCCTGTTCACACATACAACCTTTCCGGAAAATTGCCGGTAATTTTCCGGAAAGGTCTGTATGTGTGAAAAGGGCTATAATGTGCATTTAAAAATTATTAAAATAAAAAAAACGATTTAATAAAAAAAAAACTGGTTAATCATCATATGAACCACAAACAAATCATTCAAAACATATTTTAATATAAATCATTTTACATACTTTAATTTCTTCAAACTGGCAAACATTCGACACACTATTGTGCATTTAAAACATTCAAATACATGAATAATCAAGATATATTTAAAAATCTGGTTAAAGGTGCAGTGTGTAAGTTTGACACCCAGTAGTTGAACTAGGTATTGCACGCCTGGTTTAAAACCCATCTACAGTACATAATTTTAGTGCGTAGTACAGGTATGTGATTCGGGATGCAGCATTAGTTATTCAATCTCTCCGCTGTTTAAAAGACACACACGTGCTATGAAAGTGAGAGAGTGTGTTTGTGTAAAGTACCTGTTTGTGGCTCCTGGTTTTGGGGAAGCACCTCTTCCACACATTCAGCAGGAAACCAGCCTGTGCGGCCCTTCACTGTTCCTTCCCAGAATCCTCCTTCACCCACACTTAGCACTGATAGAGATAACAGGTCAACACTCAAACGAGCTTTAATTACTCACAAGTTTACACAAACTGAGTTTGCAATTTAATGACATTTAATGGGTGATAAAACAGACGATATTTACAGAATAATAGCTAGGTTTTTCAGGGTGATTTTTGCTAATCTTTGGCTGGTTTAAGCCAAGCGGCAACCTCCCGCTCATCTTCGGGAAGCCAATATGGAATAACTCAAACTGCAATTCATCAAATTCCGCTAGTCCAGGCTCCATATGAAGCAAATTTCTATTGAGCCCACTGTTGAAATGGCCAACTTTACAGCAGAAAAATGTCTTTACAGACTGGTACAAAGAAAAATTTTGGTTCATATAGCTAATATTACCCTTCATGAAAACTGTGAGGGGGTGAATTATTTTATAACTCATCCGTTTTCTTTATATTAGGTTATATTATATAAGCCAAAGCCATATCACCCTGCAGCCCAAGACCGGTTACTCACTGAAGCTAAGCAGGGTTGAGCCTGGTCAGTACCTGGATGGGAGACCACTAAGGAACACTAGGTTGCTGTTGGAAGTGGTGTTAGTGAGGCCAGCAGGGGGCGCTCAACCTGTGGTCTGCATGAGTCTTAATGCCCTAGTAAAGTGAAGAGGACACTACACTGTCAGTGGGCGCCGTCTTTCGGATGAGACGTTAAACCGAGGTCCTGACTCTCTGGTCATTAAAAATCCCATGGCACTTCTCGTGAAAGAGCAGGGGTGTAACACCGGTGTCCTGGCCAAAGTCCCTCAATCGGCCCTTACGATCATGGCCTCCCAATCATCCCTTTCCACTGAATTGGCTCTATCACTGTCTCTCCACTCCACCATTAGCTGGTGTGTGGTGAGCGCACTGGCGCCGTTATCCTGTGGCAGCCGTCGCATCATCCAAGTGGATGCTGCACACTGGTGGTGGTGTAGAGAGACCCCCCCTCATGATTGTGAAGCGCTTTGAGTGTATGGCCATACACAATAAATGCGCTATATAAATACACATTACATTACATATTAAGTCTGCATAATTAAAGGCGTGGCCACTGGAGTGACAGCCAGGTCTCGTTTGTCGCCCTCACTTCACCTCAGCTGATTCCAGCTGATTAGCTGCTGAACTCGGCATATTCATTGTATTTCTGTGATGTTTTATGTGGCTTTACACAGTCAGTTGCCTTTTGGAATTATTTCCTATAATTATCAGATGATATGGCATGCTGTGTGCACTTAATTGTGCTCACAAACCATTCACGTGGCTTCCATTTCCCAGGTGAGTGAAGTTATGTACTTATATACTATCTCTATAAATGTATTTGTTTTCTTTAAGATCATTTATCATTCATATTTAGAGCTGTAATGCACTCCAGAATCTGACAGACTGATTAGCTATGGGCTCTAGAACAGTCATCTGAAGCTTTGTCATTACAGTGTGCTGCTGGATTTTATCAATAGCCTTGCATTTACCAACACAGACTATATCTGAAGTGTTTGGATGTAATTAGCGTTTTCCTCATATTGAAAAACGCCATAAGAACAATACTTAGTGGCTCAATGTATTACAGTAGTCTAAACACTATTGATATAGTGTACAACCAAACACATGTGGTCAGAACACAAACGAGTCGCAGGTAATGAAGTATTAAGCGTTTCTCCCATAGGCAAGCTAGTCTAAGCAAAATGCCAGCATGTGTCTGTAGCTCCGCTAATGCTCCGCCTCTTTGCCCTTAATTGGTATCCCCCGGTTGGTGTGATAACGTGCAAACAAAATGGCAATGGTTGGCCCCGACTACTCAGGGTTCAATGCTAGGGATTATTTCTACTGCCCCGAATGGAAAAGAATAAATATTTCACAGAACAACTAATAATGTTGCCTTAAACTGTAATTTAATTAAGGAAGGAAACACTGCCCAACTGATTTCACAGATAAAACAAAAAGTAATATTATTATTAAGTAACATACAAGTAATATTATGTGTTTATGGACTTGGAGAAGGCATTCAACCGTTTCCCAAATGGCATTCTGTGAAGGGGGCTTGGGGAGTATGGGGTCAGAGAGCTCTGTTAAGGGCTGTCTTGTGCCTGTATGTAGAGCAGGAGTTTGGTTCGCATTGCCAGCAATAAGTCAAGACTTGTGTCCAGTGCATGTTGGACTCCAGCAGGACTGCCTTTTGTTACCAATTCTGTTCATAATTTTTATGGACAGAATTTCAAAGTGTAGCCTTGGGCTGAAGGGGGTCCAGGTTTGGGGACCACAGAATTTCATCTCTGTTATTTGCAGATTTTGTTGTTCTGTTGGCTTCATCGAACATGGACATGAGAATCAGCACCTATAAGTCCGAGGTCATGGTGCTCCACCAAAAGAAGGTGGCTTGCCATCTACAGGTTGGGGGAAAGTCCTGTTAGAGGAGTTTAAGTATCTTGGGGTTCTGTTCACGAGTGAGGGAGGGATGGAATGTGAGATTGACAGGCGGATTGGTGCAGTGGCAGCAGTAATGCAGTCTATGTACTGGTCTTGTGGTAAAGAAGGAGCTGAGCCAAAAGGCAAAGCTTTCGATTTACTGGTCAATCTACACTCCTACTTTCCCCTATGGTCATGAGCTTTGGGTCATGACCAAAAGGACAAGATCTCAGATACAAGCAGCTGAAATGAGTTTCAATCGCAGGGTGGCAGGGCGCACCCTTAGACAGGGTGAGGAGCTCTGACACCCGGGAGGAGCTCGGAGTAGAGCCGCTGCTCCTCCACATTGAGAGAAGTCAGCTGAGGTGGCTCGGGCATCTGTTTCGGATGCCCCCTGGACGCCTACCCAAGGAGGTGTTCCAGGCATGTCCCACCGAGAGGAGGCCTCGGGAAAGACCCAGGATTATGTCTCTCGACTGGACTGGGAATGCCTCAGGATACCCCAGGAAGAGCTGGAGGAAGTGTCTGGGGAGAGGGAAGTCTGGGGTTCTCTTCTAAGACTGCTGCCCCCGCGACCCGGCCCACAAAAAATAAGTTAAAAATGAAATAATTAATGAACAATATTATGTCTAAACTGTCACTTGACATTAGCAGCAGTTCCGTATCACATTTGCAATGATGCTCCTGTGTTTATTATTTGTTAAAAGAGCTCTTCTTTGTTTACTTTGCAGACATCCCAAGTTGGAAAAAGTCATTTCCGGGGTATACAGAGTTGATTTGCGGGAGTTAGCGGATTAGTGGGTGCTTGAAGGGGGGGGGGAGTTGTTGAGTAGTGAGCGACGTATCTGTAAAGGGTGGCGTGTGCGCGCAAGACGTACTTGAAGCTTGGCATAGATATATACACTAGATGTCGCCTGGCCTATTGTTGTCTATTGGACGGAATGCGTCAATAGCGCCGCCATCTTGCTACAGGGTAGCACTCCTTTGAAATGAATGCGGGACCAAGGTACAGTTGAGGACTGTGGCCATGCAAAGCCAGAGATATACACATATACACATATATCTATGATCGGGAGTTTTTTTTTTTTCTAATTACGAAAATTATAATTTTACATCACTTTTCTACATTGATGGATCAGTGACCGCACGCGCATTTCTGACAAAAAGCTTGTGTTTGTGTGTACAGAAATGTACTATCCACCCTGCCTGTTTAATTTGATCTAATCATGTTCTGAAACACACCTCCTCTCCTGCTTTCACTTCTCATACTGACGGAGGGAGCGATTCGTTTGTGAATGAATCCCCCGAACGACTCTTTCACTAAAGTTAGGCGACAATAATATAAGTTTCTGGCAGCGCAGCATCTCGTTGACATATTTCTTTTGCATTGTTTGCTGATTTTATTCAACAAAACTAGCATAAGCCGAGTGTTTAGTGCGAGTTGGAGCTGCTTTGCCGTATGGTGAATGCAGTAAGTGACTGTTATCCTCAATAACGTTACCTGATTAGCACAAAAGTTCAGAACATACAAAAACAGAAAAAAAACTTAATATTACCTATGAAATGTTCTGCCTTTGTGCTTTGTTTTCTTTGTTTGCTTGTTACTACACCCGTAGACAGCGCTAAAGTCCCGCGTCTTCACGTAATGACTTAACGTCTTGACTAGTGCGGTTGAATGACATTTGTCCCGGGAGCACTGTACCAATGTGGCGGCGCTATTGACGCATGCTCAGGGTCCCTATGCGATATCTAGTGTATATATCTATGGAAGAGCGGTGGGGGTGAGTTGCGCGCGACGTACCTGAAGAGCTAGTAGGGATGCAGTGGAGAGAGGGGTGTGCAACATATTTAAGGACCGGGCAGGAGACGCGCGATTTCCGGGAGATTATCATTCATTTGCGGGCATCCGGGAGTGTCTATGCATTTCAGGGATACTCCCGCAACTTCCGGGAGACCTGGGATGTCTGCAAATGCATATTTTGGATGTCTATAGAGATATTTTTGTTTTTATAAATTAGATTCGTTCAAACTAATCTGTTTCATCATGCAGTCAGTGCTTTTGTTTGTTTTATACACAGTGATTATCACAGACAATAAGTCTCCCATTCAGTTTTGGTATGACATTAACTTATAGTGAACAAGATCAGCAAAACGTTCTGACCTTTGACCTTGTCTCCTTTGCTGAAGCTGATTTCGCGCTCGCCGTGAGCCGAGTGTGAACGTGTCGCCACAAACACACGGCCTGGAACAGCACTGTAGAGTCTTTTCCTCTGACCTCCGCCACCTCTACAAACACACAAACACCAAAAAAACGTTCAACGTCAAGCTGAATAGTATGGTTTGCACTTTAACTTACTTATTTTCATTTTATTTAACATTTATATGATTTTTAAACACAGTGCAAGTAACATATTAATAATATTTTTTGGCGGCACGATGTCTCAGTGGCTAGCACTGTGGACTCACAGCAAGAAGGTTGCTGGTCCAGGTCCCAGCTGGGTCAGTTGGCATTTCTGTGTGGAGTTTGCATGTTCTCCCTGTGTTGGCGTAGGTTTCCTCCGGGTGCTCTGATTTCCCCCACAGTCCAAACACATGCAGTATAGGTGAATTGGATAAACTAAATTGGCCGTAGTGTATGAGTGTGCGTGTGTAAATGTGAGAGTGTATGGGTGTTTCCCATTACTGGGTTAAGGCTGAAAGGGCATTGGCAGCATAAAACATATGCTGGATAAGTTGGCGGGTTATTAAATGAATTAATATTTTATTTAACATTTATACGATTTTTAAATATTTATGCAAATAACAAAATAATACCAAAGTACAGTAGGTGAGAGTTCAAAGTGGCTATTAACGCCGCAGCATGTACCGCCGCCGTTTGAAATAGGTGCCGCTCTGTTTTTAGTGTATGACCGCAGTTTGTGAATGAGCCGCCAGGGGGCGTAAAGGGACGGGATGCGAACGGAAAGAAATAGCCCATACAGCAGCTTTAAATATGCTACTGTGCTTGTAAATGATATTAAACAATAAGTCAAAGCGTTATAATTCCTTCATTAATCATTTAAAATTTGTTAACACGCTTTATTGTAAACTTTTTAAGCGCAAAGAGGATTCGTTTTGGAAAATAGAATTGAAGAAGTAAAAGACAACTCTAATGAAAGCACAAACATTTAGTACTAATAAGTAGTATTAAATAAATAAATACATAAATACATAAATACATAAATAAATAAAGCAGGCTAAATATAGAAAGATGTTCAGTGTTTGCTATTTTGATAGGACTAAAACAAGACATTTTTATTTATGTTTTATTATTTATGTTGTATGTAGATGACCGCCGAGTGAAATGACTTGCCTTAAAGGGCCTTTGATTATAAGAATCAATACAAATCTTCTACTTAAGAATGAAAATCTTGCATGACTTGAACTTGAGTGACTAACCACGGGTCTGATTTATAAAATTTGCGCAGAAACTTTCTGAAAAAGTGAACCAGAATGAAGTTGCCTTCACTTATTAATGATTATGGGTCATATGATGATTTGAAGGTGTTCAATAGGGCGTCACGATGGCTCAGTGGCTAGCACTATTGCCTCACTGCAAGCAGGTTGCTGGGTCGAGTCCTGGCTGGGCCGGTTGGCATTACTGTGTGGAGTCTGCATGTTCTCCCAGTGTTGGCGTAAATTTCCAAAGTCCGAAAACATGCGGTATAAATGGACTGGGTAGAAAATATTGGCCTGGGTGTATGAGTGTGTGTGTGTGAATGAAAGTGTAGGGGTGTTTCCCAGTACTGGGTTGCAGCTGGAAGGGCACACGCTGTGTAAAACATATGCCGGAATAAAGGACTAAGCCTCAGGAAAATGAATGATAGAATAAAGTGGTTCAGTGAGGTCAATATTGAGTAAAAAAATGTTTACTTACAGCTGCACATATTCTCCTATCAATTTTGTGCATACGCCACATTTAGACAGTAAATGGGACTCGAGCACATTTTTTGTGTTGAACTGTCCCTTTAAATCTGCAACAGTCCATTCAGATACATTTCATAAAATCTACAGTATAAAACGAAGGCTTTAGCCTGAAGATTGAATGTTTTACACAGCAGTGTAAAGTGTTTGTTTCTAACCCACTGAGTAAGAATTAACTCAGTGTGGCAGTGGCGCTTTGGCCAGAAGCCTAACAGAGCAAATCACGACGTGCAAAATAGTGAGTCAGAGCTTCTGTAATCTACCATAAGAGAGATACAGACGTCAGTTAACATGTAAAAAAACACACACCAGGACAACAGAGGTAATGATGGAAACACGAATGAACACTCAAACAAATAATTTAGTGAAAATGACCCTGATGTTTGACTGCTATCTTGATGGTTTGCACTATTGCAAGTGTTAAATAAAAACAAAACACTGTCAATGATGGTGTAAGAAATATTATTAACCTAAAATATTGATGAAAGAGCACAATGCACTGCCAAAAGCAAAAGAAATCCTTAAGAAATGCTTCAAATATGAGAAAATATGAAAATATTGAGGGCATTTTCACGACACTTAAGCCAATTTCATTCATTCATTCATTTTCTTGTTGGCTTAGTCTCTTTATTAAACCAAGGCCGCCACAGCGGAATGAACCGCCAACTTATTGAGCAAGTTTTTACGCAGCGGATGCCCTTCCAGCCGCAACCCATCTCTGGGAAACCTCCACACACACATTCACACACACACTCATACATTACAGACAATTTAGCCTACCCAATTCACCTGTACCGCATGTGTTTGGACTGTGGGGGAAACTCCGGAGCACCCGGAGGAAACCCACGCGAAGGCAGGGAGAACATGCAAACTCCACACAGAAACGCCAACTGAGCCGAGGTTCGAACCAGCGACCTTCTTGCTGTGAGTACCTACTGCGCCACTGCCTCACCCTAAGCCAATTTCTCTTCTCATTAATATACACATTAATGCTTTTGGTCTTTTCTTAAGTGATTGGTGAGGATCCTTATCATTACATTATGCTATAAAAGAAATAAAAATCAGAATAAAGACAACATGGTAACACTTTACAATAAGGTTACATTAGTTAATGTATTTACTAACAGGAACAAACAATAAACAATATATTTATTACAGTATTTGTTCATGTTTGTTAACCCTAGTCAGAATCTGCAGACTTTTTTTTTTGCTCTTTCTACAGAAAATTTTGTAAAAAATCTGCAGATTTTTGTGGAATTTTGTTAGGAGTATCATAACTAAAAACTTAACATATGAAATAAAAAACAATACCTTATTAACTTTTATTTAAGGTTTAAAATGCAAATCCAATTAGATTCACCTTTTTGCTACACAATGCAAGCCTCTTATATAATATATCCATGTAAAACCAGGACATGTTACTTTACAAACTGTATTCAAAACAAATCATATGATGATTCTAATATGAATATATCACAAATCATATTAATGAAATTAATAAAAAAAACTGGATAAATATAAATTTACACACATTTACACAAGTAAATACATAGTGATATGGACTGGGTGGAGTGACAGGAGACAACAGGAGGTAAGATCCAATATGCAGTTTATTCAATGTCAGGCAAGCAGTGGTCATCAGGTGCAAACGGGTATATAAAGGCAGTCCAGAATCTTAAACGTTAAACAGGCAAAAGGTCAAAGGCAGGCGGCTAAACAGGATAACAAGGGTACAAGGCTAGGATCGAAACACGGAAACGCGTTGTAATGTCACTAGAAAGCAAACAAGACTCGGCAAACTGGAAGCGTGAATGAGTGGCTTATGAATGGAATGATATCAGTCTGTGAACAAGCTCCAGCTGTTGATTGCAATCAGGATAGATGAGTGAGCAGGCGTGCGTGTTTGGGAGCAGTGCATGTATGAAAATGTAGTCCTGGGAAATGCGGAAATGTAGTTTAGAGAGTTCGTGTGAGAACCAGCGATCCTCTGGGAAGCGATCGCTGGTTGTGTGACACATAGACTCAATAATGGGATAAAAATATACAGAAATCTGCAGATTCCATGTGGGCCTAGTTATTAGTGATGAAGTCATTCATAGTTAGTTCATGTTAACTCGCAGTGCATTAACAAGTGTGAATTTGGATTTTATTGATACATTAGTAAATGTTGAACTATGCTTAATAAATGCTGTACATGTATTGCTCATAAGTAGTTCATGTTAATTAATACATTAACTAACATTAAATAATGAAACCTTTTTCTAACGTATAACCGGAAACATGATTATAATAATAAAGTCGTGAGATTGTAGAAATTAAATTACCCTTAGACATAAAAAAATAAGAGAATGACAACAAGATATAAAAACGACATTTTATAAACAATTAACAAAACAAAAAAAATTTTTTGGAAACTCAGAAAATATTTTTACTCACTATTTTACTTGCAAGATGTATAATTTATTTAAAGGGCACCTATGGTGAAAAATCTACTTTTAAAGCTGTTTGGACAGACGTGTGTAAGTATAGTGTATATACTGTCATATAGGGGTGAAATAAACACACCCAGTCCCATTTGTTTTTTCAGATTTAACAACACAAAAACGGTGGACCAATTGGAGCGGTTTTCAGAATGACCGCAACTTGACGTAGGAGTGCGGTCCCCCCGCCCACCAATATTGAATGACAATATTTACATGTTTCCATAGTAACGCATATAATCATATCAACAAGACAAGCCAAGCGCAAAGCAACCGGAAATAAAAGATCTGTTCAGTTTGTTAGGATCGTCAATCATCATCAAACGTGATCAGGAGTGAGTTTTACAAGTTTAACATGTTTTAAAACAGTGCACGTGTGTAATGTAGTACAGCCATTCACTTCAGATTCACCTTATCAGCACAGCCGTGTCTCTCTCTCTCTCTCTGTGTGTGTGTGTGTGTGTCTGTGCTATGTGTGTCTACTCTATGTGTGTGTGCAGTGGCGCAACAAGGGGGTATGCAGTATATGCGGCGCATAGGGGCGCCACACATGGGGGGGCGCCGTTGTGCCAAAACTATTTTTTAAATTATCCTTATTAAAAGTTTCAAATAATAAAAATAAATAAATGTTTTGTTAAACAACATTATTTTGCATTTTAAACGAATATAATATTGTTATTGTTTAATTCAAAATCATTTAACACAATAACATGCAGTCCCACAGCCGAAAGTGTTCATGTAGATGTAACTGTTTAGATTTGAATTTATTTTTAACAAAATAAACTGTCAAATCATACATAATGTCAAAACTTATAAGATTAATCTGAAAATTTGTCTTCATTTATTATTAATTAATTAATATAAAATAAGAGGGATCACACAAAATTTGAACCCGCATACCCCTCAGTAAATGTGTAGTTGCGCCCCTGTGTGTGTGTGTGTGTCTACTCTATGTGTGTGTGTGTGAACTCATTGTTGCAACGCCACAAAAAATGTATCAAATACTGATTGGTAAACTTCTTACTGTAGTATTTCTCACAAACGCTACGTGAGACCTGCTTCCTGAGGCAGCCGAGGGCGGCGATTGAGGCATGTTGCTGTCAGGCACGTGGGAACGGTGGGCGGGGATGACTAGCCTTAAAGGCCCAGTGCAACAACAAAAAAAACTTTTCCCAGCTATAATACAGACACTTCAAACAGCTAAAATAAATACTCTGATGGGTGTTTTGAGCTGAAACTTTACAGACACATTCTGGGGAAGCAAAATACTTATATTAAATATGAAAAAAGGGTAAACCTTGGTGCCCTTTAAATCTCGTTATTTATGTTAAATGTATTTTTGTTACGCATTTTTTACATTGTTATTTTATTTATACAATTTTTTAAATAAATTGTACTATTTATTTAGTGTAATGTCAGTGCATTTATTAATTTAGATTATTAGCTATATTGGATATACGAGTATAAATGACTGTAAAAAGTTGTGGAATTAATAGCATGTGTATATTAAATCTGTGTGCAACAACACACTTCTACTAACAACTCAACTAAGTCTTTAAAGTGAGATACTGCAATGTGTTCATTTATTGACTAAAATTCATTCATTCATAATAAACTTTGCAAATTTATTTTCTCAAAGAGTAACATTACACATTGAAGAAAGCAAAAAGTGTAACAGGATCCCTTTAAAAAAGGCCTAAGCTGTTAGCAAAATATCATTCATTCATTCATTTTCCTTCAGCTTAGTCCCTTATTTATCAGGGGTCCCACAGCGCAATGAACCACCAACTATTCCGGCATATGTTTTATGCAGTGGATGCTGTCCAGACGCAATCCAGTACTGGGAAACACCCATACACACACACACACACACACACACAATACAAAATTGAGGTTATTCAAAATTCACCTACACCGCATGTGTTTTGACTGTGGGGGAAACCAGAACACCCGGAATGCCAACTGGCCCAGTCGGGACTCAAACCAGAGACCTTCTTGCTGTGAGACCACAGTGCTAATCACTGAGCCACTCTGCCACCCCTGTTAGCAAAACATCCTTTATTGTATTTCTTTTGAGTTAGGTGAGAAATTTGACCCGGAAAAGTCCCTGACCGTCTGAGATTGTTCAGGCACCGAAGCGACGTTTAGCATCATGGAAATCAATTGACGCGGTAAACTAAAAGAAAACAAATGTAATTACAACCCCGAGGCATCCTGGGAAATTCATTTATTAATTTATGATGTCCTGAGGTGCTTTTCATTTCCATGGGTTTGAACTTCAGACCTGCTGAGAGCTGATGATGATCTGCAGCACAGACTGAACTCTTCCTCTTCCTCTCCTCTCTGCTGTTTCTCTGCGTTTGTAGAGCCACAACAGTAAATAAACAGCTAACATTTACATTTTGCTGGATTTTCAGCTTTTACAGGAATGAGTATGAGCTACAATAATCACTTTCATCCAGATTTCCATCTACAAAACTGAAAATAAAAATGACAAAATGACCAAAAATGGCTAAAAATAAAATGAAAAAGCGAATTACAACAATCATAATAATTATAACGATTAACAATTATAATGATTTTGATTATATATATATATATATATACATACATATATACAGTATATATATTAGAGCCGCCAAAATAAGCGTATAGTTAAGCGCAGTTGCAGTTTTATTTCCTGTTGTGGCCGTTGTGTGTTCAACTTGCAAAGAAATATAGATAAGACCAAGGAAGTCCTTTTAGAAGGAAATTTTCAGTATAAAGAATTAATGTTGCATCACCAGGCTATTGTTTTGTTGGAATTTGTTACCGCATGCAGAATGGAAACATCAAACCTCTCTATTTCGTGACTCGGATGGTCCGTCAAGGTAATCAAAATTCGCTGTTTACATAATAGACTCTAAAACAAAGTATTATCCTAATCGTATTAAAATCGTAGCTTCTTACAATTCTTACGTCCTTGCCGCAACACCAGTGGCTGATTCGGTGATTCTGCTTGTGAGAGACTGTTCTCACTCTCAGGTCACATCATTCAAAAGAAAAGGGCCACATTGTCCCCGGGTAATGTCAACAGACTGGACTGTTTTAGCAACTGGATGAATGTAAAGGAGGACTAAGCAAAATTGTTCTACTTTATAATTAAGGTCCTCAACTATCAGCACTACAACTTTTCAATGAGTACAATTGTTTGTATTCAATACATAATTATTGTAATTTTCTAATTTCCATATTTGCAATGCTGTATTTTGGATTTTTATTATTATTATTTTTTTTTTATTATTTTTTATTTTTTGCGATTCACTTATAATCCAACATTGAAATCATTTTAGTTTGTTATTGGTATTGATTGTTTTGAAATTCAAATGGCACTAACACGCCTGTGTTTTTATTTCTGTGATATATATGGTTTTCAAGCCAACAGTTTGAGGATCTTGGTGGTTTATTGCAGGTATGTTGTTTACAAGAAGAAATCTGTGTTACAAGTTGAACAAACATTCTGATAAACAAGCATATTTTGAATTTAAATAGTTTCTTTGTCTTGAGTTTAAATTAATTTTACATTTGAATAGTCAAAATGACAAGTTTCAGTCTTTTAAATGTGATTTATCGCAATTAATTGCGAAAAAAGTGTGA